ACCTCAGGCTCTGCCAGGTTCAGTTTATGATGCCAACAGACAGTGCCGTCTCACATTTGGAGAGGAGTCCCAGCACTGTCCTGACCTGAGCACCACTTGTGCTGCCCTTTGGTGCACCGTCACATCTGCAAATGGCTTGCTTGTCTGCCAAACCAAGAACTTTCCATGGGCCGATGGGACACCTTGCGGGTCAAACAGCTACTGTTTGGCAGGCCAATGTTTGAGCAAGTCTGAGGCTGCCAAATATCAGGTGAGCACCATTTGGTGTGCCATTTGTTGTCATATGTAATTGATGCAATTCTGATTTGTGACTGATGATGGTTCTGTCTTGTCATCTTTAAGACTCCAGTCAATGGCGGATGGGGAACCTGGGGACCTTGGGGAGATTGCTCACGTACCTGTGGAGGAGGTGTGCAATACTCTTTCAGGGACTGTGACAATCCCCTATCCAAAAATGGAGGCAAATACTGTGAAGGCAAGAGAATTCAGTACCGCTCCTGCAACACTGAGGCCTGCCCTGATAGCAATGGTAAGGGATAATCCTATCACTGTTCCTGCAACCAATGCAACCAGATGCAAAGCCGCATGATACTCAAATGTATTTGTTTGCACAGGTTTGACATTCCGTGAGGAGCAGTGTTTGGCCCACAATGACATCTCCTCTCAGGTGTCATTTGGCTCAGGAGAAGGCGTCGAGTGGGTGCCAAAGTATGCCGGGGTGTCTCCCAAGGACCGCTGCAAGTTGGTGTGCCGAGCAAAGGGAACAGGCTACTTCTTCATTCTGAAGCCAAAGGTGAGTGTCCCAATTAGACAGACCCACCAAAATCTAACAATGGTTTAGTGGATGCAAGTGTACTACTGCCAATATTTAATCTGAGGTTTCTTCCAATACCTTCAGGTGGCTGATGGAACACCATGCACCCCAGATTCCACCTCAGTTTGCGTCCAAGGCCAGTGTGTGAAAGCTGGTTGTGACCGGGTCATTGGCTCCAATAAACGTTTTGACAAATGTGGCATCTGTGGAGGAGATGGATCGACTTGCAAGAAAGTTTCTGGATCAATGCAACATGCTAGGTAAGTCTAAAATCTGCACCAAAGATTTTACCTGCTAGTTAGAGTTTCCTAAAATAACTCAAATTTTGATTTATACTAACCTTTGCTTGTTTCTGAACTTTAGAGCAGGCTACCAATATGTAGTGACAATACCAGCTGGCGCCACACACCTAGATGTTAAGCAGCACTCTCTTGGAGGTCGCCGCCACGACAATAGCTACCTAGCAGTTCGCCGGCAAGATGGCACGTACCTACTGAACGGTGACTATAAGCTGACCACTTTAGAAACTGACATATCTCTGAAAGGTGCACTGCTGCGGTACAGTGGTTCCTCTGCCACACTAGAGCGCCTGCGAAGCTTTGCTCCCCTACCTGAGCCTCTTACTATCCAGGTGTTGTCAGTCGGTGATTCCCCCCGACCTCGCGTAAAATACAGCTACTTTGCGCCACGCCCCAGCGGGTCAAAACGGCCATCCATTAACGTTATTAGTGAAGCAGGAGATGCCGAATGGGCCCTACGGGAGTGGGGACCCTGTTCGCAGACCTGCGGCGGTGGGATCCAGAATCGGGACGTCATCTGTCTTGATGCTTATGGCCGCCAATCAAAAGACTGTCCTGAAGAACTGCGCCCTTCTTCGTCACAACCATGTGCTCTGCATGCTTGCCCATCCTGGTTGCTTGGGGAGTGGTCTGCTTGTTCCAAAACATGTGGCAGAGGCTTCCGCAAGCGCCCACTGCGCTGCATCGGACATGATGGCCGCACTTTGCCTAACGAGAGCTGCAACGCAAAAGATCGGCCACGACCTCTTCTAGATTTGTGCAACCTGACTCCCTGTTGAAACTGAACAATGAGGCTCGAAACAACCTCGAACGGCTGTAAGTTGCACCTGGTGCTGACCAACACAGGTTTTTATATTCAAAGGGCCCATTATGACAAAGACTGCAACCAAACTTATCTCAGTGTTTCAATTCCCACCCATCCAACACTGGGTACAGGGCACAAAGCTGGCACACTGTGTACCTGTCTTGACAGCTGTGATGGAGGATGAGAATACGGACGCCTCTGCTGCTTTGGATGCTGATGTCATGCATGTTAGATTTTGAGTGTTTATGGGTGTGTATGATGATTAATGAAAGAGTGCATGAAACAGCTATGCATTTTTATCGTCTGTCTGAGCTGGACTAGACAGACAGGATTAATTTGTCACAAGAGAGCATATAGGAACATATAGGAGCTATTGCCGGGGTCAAGAGCAGTACTGAAACAGAAGAGTTCATTAGTAGTGTTATATAAATGCCCTCTAGTGATTCTCCATGTCAAAGTTGCAAACGCTAACTCAAAGTACATATTCAACATATGCAGTTTTCTTGCCAAAAATCAACGCCATATCTCACCTCAGCTAGGCACACATGCTGCTAATCAAACATTAGCTTTAAGTTTAGCTTCCTAGATTGATATTTTCACCATTTTGCAAAGCCATTCCCAATCAAGAGGGATTATATTTTTAACGGAGAGGGAGACCAAATCGCAGAGGTTCAATACCTGAGAAGACAGTGTGTTTGTGCGTGTTTATGTATGTGTAGGTTAGTTCTGTGTGATTGTATGGAGATATAGTGAGGGACTTCTCTCCTACTACTTCATAAGTAATTCTCTCCTGCCTTCTGAGAAGGTGTCTTTGTAATGAGGTATTTTGTTTTGTACAGAATATCCAAACATTATTTATTTTTGTACAGCCCATTTAATATAATCTTGTTGCTTTTTTATAATTATTGTATTTCTATTTGTTATTATTATTGAAATTACTGAAGGATGTAGATTATATTAGAGTATTTATATATCCTATGAACTTAGGTTTATGAATAAAGTGTCACATTGATTTGTGGACCAAAACTATTGAGATGGTGTCTTATTTTGGGTGTGGCTGCTGACATTGAAGGAAGCACTATAGTCTAAATCCTGGTCTGAGGACCCCTAGAGGTTCGTAAAGGTACTACATTATTTTTTATATATATTATATCACATCTTGTATTTTTAATGTGGTTAATCTCCTCTAGATGAATGGAGCAACATTAACATCTGAAGTCTGAACACAAATTGATGCACATTGATTGTAAATAAATGTATATATACAAGTGCAAAAATTCAAGTACATGCATACATCAAAATAAATTCAAAAGAGCATCAAACATTATTAGATCTAGTCATGACAAGTATCAGTACAAAACTGCTGAGTCTGTCTGCTCATATTATGAACTAGACAAAGAAAGTCCACCGCTCTAAATTAAATCAATTAATTAGATTAATTAAATCATATTAATTAGCACTCCCAACAGCTGTTCAAAGAAAGCCTACATGACCGGCATATTCAGCAGGACAGGTAATAATCATATCACTGGTTATAACGAGGAAGTCTTTTGTTATATAACAAACTTTAATAATTTAAGAGGGCACTGTGGGGTTTAGTCTTTATGTTACAAGGGTGGTTCAAGTGGAAGCTCATTCAGTCCCCAGTCCTTCTGCTAAATAATACATACAACCAACTGTTCAGCAAAATAACACACAGCAAGGCCTTTTATACTGAAAACCTTTTTTTCTGACAGTCTGAAAAGTGGTTAATACAACAGGTTGGAACAAGAAAGACGTAAATGTAAATTTGCAAGATGCAAGATGTAAACATTTACTTTCCCTCATATGTTCATATACAAGTTACGTTCGAGCAAGGTTCTCAAAAACATGTTCTCAAAACATTAGAACAAAAACTTTACAATGTAAACCTGGACATTCAACTAAAATGTTAAATGTTATTACTTGTTTCAGAATGCTCAGAGAATATTCAAACAGAACATTTCAATAATGTTTGCAAATGATAAAATGTAATGTTCCTTTAACGTTCACATAACCAAGCATAATATATATTTTAAAAAGTTGTTGAATGTTCAGAGAACATTCAGAAATATTTTCTTGAGTTTACGTTCTTAGAACATTTTTGCTCACTGGTTCCATATCAATTGTCCAAATGCAGATTGACTAGGGCATTGAGTCACTAACTCAACATAAACAACTAGAAAATATAAATATGTGGTTGCATTCTACTGAGTGGATTCAAGACAAGAAGATGTGTTTCTATAACAGGCCATCATTCACACCTATCTTTTCTACATATTAAGATCAAGTGAATTAGTTATGAAGATCTGGGCCTATAAATTCTATGAATTACAGTCTGAAGCACGTGTATTGGAGATGCTTTTGTTTGGTGTTGAGTTCAGGTCAGGGATGTTGCAGATTCGTGAAAACACGATTGAAGATAGATCTAAATATAGACTTCAGGGACACTAGCGAGAAGATGAGACCGCAATTTGGCGCTATTGAAAAGGGCGAAGTGTTCCCAGAATTATCGTGCGGCTCTTGTGTTGTTCCTGAGGTAACCGGCCACATTAACGCTCGTGTGATGAGGAGTCGTGACAGCGGAGACGGGCGGCGGCGGCCGGTGTTGTGCCGAATTCTGCACCCCTGCCAGATTATGCACCTCCTCGTTGAAGTCGCTACCTGATTGCCTTTGAAGATAGATCTAAATATAGACTTCAGGGACACTAGCGAGAAGATGAGACCGCAATTTGGCGCTATTGAAAAGGGCGAAGTGTTCCCAGAATTATCGTGCGGCTCTTGTGTTGTTCCTGAGGTAACCGGCCACATTAACGCTCGTGTGATGAGGAGTCGTGACAGCGGAGACGGGCGGCGGCGGCCGGTGTTGTGCCGAATTCTGCACCCCTGCCAGATTATGCACCTCCTCGTTGGTCGCTACCTGATTGCCTAATCCCAACCCCACCCCTAATCCTAACCCCTCCCCCACACCTACTCCTAAACCTACCAATACTAGGGGGTGCATAATCTGGCAGGGTGCAAATTTCGGCACTACACCGGCTGTTCACAGTCGCATCTAGACCGACTCCCTGCGCGGCTGGGCAGAGTTCCTGGGGGAGGGGATCGAGGCGAAGAAAAGAAAATAGCGCAAGGAAGAAGTTAAAGACAAAGAGGAATGAGTCAAAAGAGAAGTTCTGACTGAGAGACTCGTGGAACACGTGGAGCGTTATGGATAAAAGAGTTTATTTTAATGCCTGAAACTCAGAACGCTTGAAAGTCAGAACAACATCACAGTTTATAGTCAGATTTAAGACATGGCAGAATGAACGATCAACTGTGCAAAGATTAAATAACATGTGACAGTGGGTTAGACACGTTTTCCCAGGGATTTTCACCACAAAAAAAAACCTTACCGGAACATTATGGAAAATCCGAGGACAGCCAGTTCACAGAAGAGTTGGAAGTTCGTGCGGGACTCTCTGCTGCTTTGCTTTTTTGCCGGTAATGTATTTTTATATTTGAGAACTAGGAAGTAAATCAATTAAACATTTGACCGATTATTTTATTAAAATAAACGAGCAATAACATGCAAGCAAACAAAGGTTATTTACGTCTTATCTAGTAACTCAAAATTTGAGGTCGTAAATACATTGCAGGCTTCAGTTTTCATTATTTGAATTACGGGTAAATTAACAATTTCTCAGTTGTCTGTGTAAAAATTAATGATTTTCGCTCAATTTGTTTTACACTGATGAGAAAACGTGTCTTTGTAAATCTGTCTACAGCTACCATGGTAATAACAGATAACATATTTAGGTTATAAAAACGTGGGAACATTTGAAATGTTTCTAAAACATTGACGTGCAGTTTTCTTGTGATTAGAATGTTAAGTAACAAATACGTTTCTTGACGTTCTACTAACTTCCTTTTCACCCAAAATATAACATTATTTGAAAGTTTATTTTTAATGTTCTAATAACCTTAAAATGTCCAGATTCTCGTGATTATAAATTTATTTAAAGGTAAAAAAAATTAAAAAAAACGTTTCTTAGAACGTTCAAGTACAAATAAAATCACAAGGACGTTTTGAGAATGCTGATCTTTAAAAAATGTTAGTGAAAGTTTTGACAATGTTCCCTGTTAGCTGGAAATTTACAAACTAAGGAAAGTTACTTATGAGTTCCCTAGTTAGTAGTTTACAGGCTACAGATTTATGGATATTTTACCTATGGGTTAACTAACAATTTCTCTGTTGTCTGTGTGAGAGTTAGTTAATGACTTTTCTCAACTTTTTGACACTATTTTGAAAAAAAAATCTTGTCTTTAAAATGCTCATTTTACTGCCATGTTTAATGCTACCATGGTAATGCCATGGTATTCATTGAAATACATTGGGGTATTAAGAAAATCTCATGGTATATGGACACTATTCATTCAGTACCAGACTGGTAACATCATACAACACAATTCTGGAGTTTTGTGATTGACCTATCCATACACACACTAAAGCGTCTTTGTCCCAAAAGTGTTGACCGACAGGACCCAGAGGTAAAATGAGGGCCTCTAGGGGACCACCCAGTCTGCAGGGCCCCACATTTGCTCTGAGAAGCCAGATGCAAACAGACGCCACTCAAACTGAAGTCAAATTTTGGTGCTTCAGAAGACATAATTACACCAATTATACGGTGATGACTGCGGGCAGGACAAGATAGTGCTGTAATTGTGTACCAACCATCCTCACCCTTGAGCATGAGTTTGAGATACATACATTTAAAGGTTTTTAGTCACAAAACTGTTGTATTAAGTTATGGCACAAAAACACAAGTTTTAAGGATAGGAAGACATGGACCCATATCTATACAAACAGACTTGCATTAAGCAATATGCTGCATACACCCTTTACCAGCAGCAGGCACGTGCACACATAGACATAAAAGGGTGCTTGAGCACCTGCCCTTTTTCTTCCTCGAGAGAAAGTGCCCTTTT